GCTGTTGGGGATTGAAATAAGTTTGCTTTTAGAACATTAGAAGTTTATTAAGTTTAATTATAACTACTGGAGACCACCACGGACCCAGCTTGTTCCACACCTCATGCTACCAGAGACCCCGGACCCAGCCTGTTCCATGCCTCGTGCTGCTGGAGACCCCGTGAGCCAACCCTGGTGCTGCTGGAGACCCCCTGCTCTCACACAGCTGAAGGCCCAAGAACTCTGGTGAAGGACACTGGTGTCTACACCCCCCACACCACTGGAGAGCCCCCAAAAGCATATCTGAGGAGTCACCATGTGGCAGACATTCCTAACTGGCACCACAGGGCCCAAACAGCCTGGCATGCTGCTGGAGCCCCCCAAAAACAGCCTCCATACTGTCTCAGCAGCCAGAGCCTGCCTGAGACCTCCCTTCAAGCAGCTGCTGGCACTGCAGGACCCCCACGTCTCACCATGGGGTGGTCCTGGCACCAGGCTGAGACCCTCACACCGAGCTCCCCACCACAACCATCTGAGCAGGCAGGATTCAGTCACCCCTGGGCAGGAACCACACCGTGGCATGGACTGCACATCCCTTGGGCCTCCTGCCCAGGCAGTGCTTCAGGGCAGCAGAGTTGTGTTTTGTTGGCTTTTTTTCATAGTAATAAATCATTTATTTTCTGGTGAGTCTTCTGCCTGCACAGCTCTGCTGGGGCCTCTGCTAGCCAAGGGCTAGTCCCTCCCTTCCATGATTGGGGTCACTCCCCCTCTATTCCCTCTGTCCTTCCTTGAGGGGTGCAGGTAGACCTGGGTGCTGCCTTGGGATCTGGTTGTTCCTGGGGATGGAGCAGAGCATCCAGTTCTGTGTGCCCAGCTGCACCGTTGTGGGCTGGTAGGGAATATTCTGGGTATTTTCCACTGGGAAACAGGGCAGAGCTGCAGGAAAGGCAGCATCCAAGAAAGCCAGGGACTGTGTCCGGCAGAACACAGAATTAAGTACAAAAATTAAATGAGCACTTCAGACAGTTACAAACTGCACCAGAGTTAAATAACCAGAGAAAATAAATACAAATTATTTTTCTTTCCAGCACAATACACTCTTTTTACCAGAGCAAATTAGAAATACAGAACGAGTTCCTACCAGTGAGAGAAGGACAACCAAGAAATGAGGGACACGGAACCGAAATGTGATGCTGGGGAGCACGGGGGGACCAGGACTCCTCGGGTGCAGGTGAGGGGCCCTGGTAAAGCTCTCACAGGAGCCCCACTGACTGCAAACACGATGCCTGGACAAGAACAGCCCGTGGAAAACCAGTAAGGAAAATACATTTGGGAGCAGGGGCAAATGGGAGCGATTGGGTTGGCATTGCCCCACTGCTGGTCACGCAGCTCGCATCAGAGCTAGGCTTGGCACCATCCCAAAATCCCGCAAAAACCTCCTGGAGATGGGTTGGGGTGGTTCCTCCTTCCTATGGTGGGTCAGAAAGCTGCCACGGGCTGTACCTGTTCCTGCTGCACCAATTCCCAGCAGGGTCTGACAGCTGAGATGTGACCTGTGCCATAGGGGTGGGAACCCTGGGCTGCTCTCTCTGTGCCCCACAGCACCCTGTGGGTGAGGAGGTGCTGCCAGCAAGGCAAATGGGATTTGGGTTGCTCCTTCGGGACATGGTCCTTTTTCTTTTGTTTCTGCTCCTCCCCTCCCTCCCCCGGCCACCTCTGCTTATCCCTAGGTCTGAAAACAGGAGGAAAAAGAAAATGAGCGCATTGGAACACAAAAACTTCTCTCTCCCCAGCTGGCTGGCAGCTGCCAGGGTGGGACACGGGGCTGCCGGCGGCCGGGGATGGCTGTGCCAGGAGCGGGCACCTCGCGTTGTGCCTGGCTGGAAGCCTCAAAAGAAATAATGAACACAAGCTGGGAAGGACTGGCCACACGGGAAGGCCACAGCATCCCAGTCCGGCTACTGGCTCCCCTCGGGATCCGACATGTGGGTTTTCACCTGTGAGGAGAAACACGCAGTGTGGCCGTCCTCCATGCTGGCAGAGGATCAAACCCAGTGCCCTGCCCAGCACGGGGATCCTCGGGATCCCACATCCAGCTGGGGGATGTGAGTGAGGGAGCAGCACCTTTGATAAAAGGTATTTCTGCTCCGAGGGATTTTTTGCAACCTTAGTGCAGCCTTGATTCACACCCAGGGGTTTGCTGCGGGGTGCTCGGGCCTGTCCCAGAGGCACCGGCGGTTTTAGCCCTGGAACCCAGCTGGAATGGCTTGGGGAACCCTGGTGGAGCACCTCATCTACTCCAGGAATCCCTCACCAGCAAGCAGGTGTGGATTTTAGTGCAGCCTTGATTCACACCCAGGGGTTTGCTGCGGGGTGCTCGGGCCTGTCCCAGAGGCACTGGTGGTTTTAGCCCTGGAACCCAGCTGGAATGGCTTGGGGAACCCTGGTGGAGCACCTCATCTGCTCCAGGAATCCCTCACCAGCAAGCAGCTGTGGATTGTAGGGAAGCAGAGAGCCCAGCAGAGGATCTGGCCCTCCTCTTACCGTCTCCTCAGTGTCTGTGCTCTCCTCGGCGCTGTCGATGTTGCGCAGGTCACTGTGCCCATCAGCTCCCATCCCCTCCTTCCCCCGCGACTCCCGGGACCCCTCTCCTGCTGGGGACAGCGACTCTGTCCCTGGCTCTGCCCTCTTCTTCTCACTCTCCTTGGACCCTGCAAAGCCAGAGACAGCAGAAATTTGGGGTACCTGTGCAAACATCAGCCCTGTCCTCGCTGCGTTCCCTTGTGCCAAAGGGCTGGGTTTTTACTTTGCAGGGAAGGAGAAGGAGGTAAGGAACCTGCCAGCCAGCTCTGGATGTCCTGGGCACACAGGGAGGGACCCTTACAGCCAGCTCAGGGTCCAGGCTCACATGTGCCCTCAGGTTGCCCAGCACAGACACCCCAGTGTTGGAGGGTCTGGGCCCGTCCCCTCACCCGTGAGACGCTCTCTCCTCTGGTCCATGCGGTCCAGGCTCTCCAGCAGACTGTCCACCTGTGCCTTGATCTGGCTCAGCTCCCCCTTGATGGAGTGCAGCTCTTCAGCTCGCACTGCAGGGAGAGGAGTAGTGAGGAGCCCACCCAGAGCAAGGAGGACACGCCATCCTGGGCAGCCACCTCTGAAGCATCCCACTCTCTGGAGCATTCCCCCCTCTGGAACATTCTCCTTCACAAAACATCTTCCTCTATGAAATATACTCCCCACCAGATATCCTTGGGGAACAGGAATGGGCCCAGGGGACAGTCACCAGCCCAGTGCAGCCCAGGCTGCATCTGCTGGAGCTGGGGACTCACAGCAGCAGGGTCAGCACACACTGTGAGGGCTGAGCCTCTTCTTTCTCCCAGCCCTGTCACACTTACACTTTGTCCGTCCTGCCGTGGAGCTGGTGCTGCTCCTCGTCCCGGGCTGGGGACTCAGGCTGCTCTTGCCTCCTGCTGCCAGGTGAGTCCGTCTGGTCTTGACCGGGATGCGGTTAATGAGGGGGGGGATCTTCTGGTACTCATAGACCCTGCAAGGGCACAAGAGCACAGCGGCATGAGCACAACCTTAGAGGTGCAGCAGTACCCCTTGCCAGCCAAGAGAGCATCTCTTTGGGTCCCTGTGCGGTGAAAGGACCCACAGTGTGGGCGCTGCCCTGCCCACATGGTGCCCCTGCCCCTTGTGCCCCCTCCCCAGGCCCCCAGCCTGTGGAAGCTGCGGCTCCTCAAAGTGGGGAAACACCACTGAGCCTCTCTTGGAGGCAGGGGGACATGTGCCCAGGGACACCCTGCTTTTCCACGGTCACACACCAGACCCACACATGCTCATCCCGCTCCTGGGATGCTGCGCTCACCGGTACGGGAAGTCATCCCTGTAGAGGTCGTAGTCCAGGTCACAGTTACTGCTGCAGGAGGGAGAGAGAGGAGAACATGTCACCTGCTCTGTGGATCACCATGGAGCAGTCACTGCTGGGCAAAGGAGGGCAGAGACACCCACCCAGCCTCCAACCTCCCATAACAGGAGGCATTCCAGAGGATCCCACACAAGCTGCCTGGGCTGCAGCATGCCCTGGGAGGTGTCTGTGCCCTGGCAGGGATCTTTCTCGAGGCAAACAAGGGGGTTGGGAGGGATGGTGATAGCCCCTGGGGCAGCATCAGCAGGGTCTGTCCTCAGGAAGCTGCATTTAGAGTGCCCTGGTGTTAAACTCCACAGTCCCTGGCTCCAGGTGTGCTGTCAGCTCACTCAGCTCCAAACTAAGAACCGATCTGTCAGCGGATCCCCTCCAGTGCGGGCAGTGATGTGTCCATAATAAATCATGTGCCATGGACCAGGAGTGGGGAGTGGCAGGAGGAAGAGGAGAAGGCAGAGGAAAGATGCTGAAGCTCATTTTACTGCTTCAGTTCTTGTGGAGTCAGGGAGCATAGAATTAAACCTAACCCAGTAGAGACAAAGCCACGCTCCAGGCATCACTGGGAGCAGGGAGCCTTCCTGCTGTCAGGAATGGGAGGACCAGTTCAAAGTCCCCCAGGGCTCCAGATCTGGCTGCAGATGAGCTTGTCACTGTGGGATCAATGCTGGGGCTCAGGGAGGTCTGCTGAGGGGCTCACAGGCAACCTGGTCTGCCCTGCCTGGGGCACCAAGCCTGGGCCAGGCTCACCCAGCCCAGAGGGCAGCTTGGAGCCTGTCATGGGGCAGAGGCACCTCCTGTCCTGCTGCCACCCTACCTTCTTCAGGAATCCTCTGCACAAGGCAGAGCCCACAAGCATCAGCCCTCCTGGTAAGGGCAAGCTGGCAGCCCTGGTGACCTGCCTGCTCCTGTGCTTTGCATGTGGGGTTCAATCCTTGGGGTCTATTTTGGGAGCTTTTGGTCCAGACTTGCTGCCTTCCAAGTTTCTGTTGCTGTGACAGGGATGGTGTGTCCTTTGCATCCCCAACTCCTGCCTGTCACCCAGGGGGGAAGGTCACAACCTCTCCTGGGAAAACAGGGAATGGGCAGACCGAGAGGTGTCCCAACCCACACATGGGGCACAGGGAAGGTGCCTGCTCCAGTGGCTGCTGCTACTGCATGGAGCCCACACTGAAAGGTCTGGGGATGCCACAGGACACCCTGTGCCGTGGGAGAACTGGTGGCACTGCAGGATACCCAGTCTTGGGGTCTAGCACCCAGCTAGGGACACAGCAAGGGGTTTCCTGGCTCAGCTCTGCTCAGAGAATCCCCTGGGAAGAGCAAAGGCAGTGGCTGCCACGCTCCAGCGCCCAAGGGGGCCAAGCAGTCCCGGCCCTCCAGTGCTGCCTCTCTTCAGCTCCATGGCAACAGGCAGAGCAATTAGTTCAATCAGGGCGTTTGCAAAAAAGCTCTTATGAGACAGAGGAGCCCGGCTCCAATCCCCTCCTCACCACACGTCCACCGAGACAGGGAGACAAAAGTGTGCAGGGATGGGGACCTGCTCTTCTGCCACCATCAGTACCATCACCATCACCTACCACCATCCTCAGGGCCATCACCATCCCCGTGTGTCCCTGCAGGGGTGTCTGTCCCTGAGGAACAGCATTTAAAAGCCACAATTGCAATGGATATAGACACAGAATTGTAGAATCCTGGAATGGTTTGGGTTGGAAGGGTCCTTAAAGCTCATCTCATTCCAAACCCCTCTGCAATGGGCAGGGACACCTTCCGCTAGACTGGGAAGCCCCATCCAACCTGGTCTTATGCAATTCCAGGGATGGGGTGGCCACAGCTTCTCTGGGCAGCCTGTGCCAGGGCCTCACCAGCAGGAAGAATTTCTTTCTTATGTCCAACCTAAACCTGCCCTCTGTCAGTTTGAAGCCATTACTGAAGGAGTACATCTGTAACAGGCATGGAGACCACAGGGCTTCTCTGACTGCCTTCGGGTGGGGAGGGCAGGTCCCCACACCCCACTGGTGACACACACCAGGAGGGGCCCAGCGAGGACTCCAGCCAGCACCTGTGTGGCCAAGAGCCCTGTCGGGATGGGGCAGGGACATCCCACAGACTTACACCTCCCAGCTGGAACAGTCAGAGGTGTGAGTGATGGAGAGCAGGGGAGGAAGAGCAGCCGGGTGTGGGACAGTGCCCAGCGCCCCCGTGCAGCCCCCACCCCACACACAGGCACTCACTGGTACAGGCTGCTGCTGTGCTGCCGCTTCTGGCCCAGCCTGGCCCGGCTCGGCTTGGGCTCCCTGGCCATGTCCAGATCTGTGGGGAGAGAGAGGAGGAGAATGAACCCACATAGACACATCTCTAGCACCAGCTTCCTTTGGTCCCAACCACACTCCTGTCCCGGCTGGAGATGTCCCACTTCAGAAAATCTGCAGGACGAGCAGGAGGCTGGCAGCTGTCTGGATTTAAGCTTTTGCGAAGGACAGGAGCAGCCCAAGGTTGTGCCAGGACATGGAGCGGGTTAAGTTATCCCTTCCCATGGGTGCCCTGTCCCAAGGAGCCAAAGCTGGACGAGCTCCAATTAGGGTGGCAGAAAGCACCTCTGATGATGAGGGTAATTATTCCTCGGAGACATTTCCCACCGCAGCGGTGAATCCACCTCTGCTATCACTCCTGCTGGGTGGATGGGCTGTATTTTGGGGAGGTCTGGGACAGCAGGACACCATACCAGGGACGTGGGAAGCCCCACATCCTGCTGCTCTGCCCTCTCAAAGGCTGCTGAGACGTGTGATGCCAAGGTGTGGGGTGGAGATGCCTCTGGACGCGCAGCTCAGCGATGTCACATCACAGCTCCCCGGCAGTGCCCTTCACCCCTTTGTGAGGATTTCACAGCCAACATCCACATAAAAGCCAGCTTGAATCTCCTTTCTGTGTATACATTTGAGAGGCACCAATACTGTGGTTTAAATCTCCATAGATTTAATTTTGTGATTTTGAGGGACTCCAAAACCTCTCTGGCCCCTGGGGTAGGAGGTGGTGGGTGAGATGTTGAGGGGTCCCTCTTGTATACTTCCCCTTAGACACAGTAAGTGTGACCAGCTGTCCCACAGGTGACATTGTGGATGCCACTGCACCAGGGCACACCAAGCTGAAGCTTCCTGAGTGCTCTGGGAACACACTGTCCCAGCAGAGAGGTTTAGANGAATCTCCTTTCTGTGTATACATTTGAGAGGCACCAATACTGTGGTTTAAATCTCCATAGATTTGATTTTGGGGGACTCCAAAACCTCTCTGGCCCCTGGGGTAGGAGGTGGTGGGTGAGATGTTGAGGGGTCCCTCTTGTATACTTCCCCTCAGACACAGTAAGTGTGACCAGCTGTCCCATAGGTGACATTGTGGATGCCACTGCACCAGGGCACACCAAGCTGAAGCTTCCTGAGTGCTCTGGGAACACACTGTCCCAGCAGAGAGGTTTAGACCTCCCCAGAAGCGTGGACACTGGCCACGGGTCCCTCCAGCCCAGCATCTGTCAGATGAAGTTCCCCCCATCCCTACAGGGAAGAGGGTTTCTGAGAAAGATCCAAGCAGAAGGAAACTGGCACTTTGCTTTTCAGGCTGCCACCTTGTGTGGTGAAGTCTGTGGGCTGGCTCTGATCTCAGGGTGAGCTGGGGAAAGTGCTCTGTGCATGCCAGGTAATGCTGGCACCAATTTTTCATGGGTGCAGCCAGATTCCCAGGGACTGCTCAGGGCCAGAGCCCGCTGTTGACATCCTTCTCTCCAGCCCACCAGAGACACTCACTCCACTCCCTGCCAGCAGGGCAGAGACCTCAGCACCCCAGCCAGGGACCCTGTCAGAGGCCACCTGTACCTAGGGGACTGTCCTGCTGGGGCAGGGGACAGAGGCAGCAGAGCTCCATCACCCAGGGTCATTGGCCCTGTGTCTGGGCTCCCCTCCGTGTAATGGAAGGGTTCTGAGAGAGCATCCCTGTCCTTAGGGAGTAATGGTATGGGGGAATAATGTATGGGGGAGCATTCCAGCACCGGGAGGACATCCCTGACCTAGAGGTAATCCCAGTACTAAAAGGACATCCCCGAGATCGGAGGGAATTGCACGGGGGCATCCCAGTACTGTGAGGATATATTCCTGTCCTGGAGGTAACAGTAGCGAGGGGTAATGGCATGGGGGCATCCCAGTACTGGGAGTGCATCCTTTCCGGGGGTCATGGCATGGGGAGAACCAGGCATCCCGGTATCGGGAGGCCATCCCAGCCCTGGGGAGGGACTGGTACCGCTGTGGAGGGCACCTGTGAGGCGGCCCCACCCGGGGTGGCGGCGTTAGGGGCACCAGAAGGCTGCAGGGGGACACCCCCGCCTCGGGCAGGGCTGCCAGTGCCGGGCGAGCATCCCGGTGC